GAGATGCTGGCTCCCAGCACCCTACCTTGATTCCCCAGCCTGGCCCCCAGAGAGTGTCAGGAGACACAGCTGGAAGAAAGACTGAATGATGAGCTAAGACTGAACCCTGCATCTCCACAGGCTCCTGCAGGCCCTGGTCCTGCAGCAGTCAGCAAACAAGTGGTAGGGGTCAGTCAAGACCAGCAACTGGGCCAGGAGCAGGGGACCTAGAAACCGATTGCCTGCAAGCTGCCTCTCCCCAGCTCCTGAGTCCATCTTTTTCTGGCTGTGTGACCTTCAGTCCCCATTTCCCCGATATACACGAGGGAAGGACAGAATGAAGGCCTAGACTGCATTGTGGGCTCCGGACTGGCCAGTCACCGAAGCTGGAATCAGGTAAGAGTCCTGACCTTCCCACGCTGCCTCTGGGGCTGGTGACATCTGCGAGGTGAACCGCAAGCCTAAATAAACGGAGCTGCTACAGCGTCTGAGGCGGGTGTTAGGGAAGAAAGCAATAAAGGGTAGGTTTATTCCTACAGCTGTCATCACATGGGCTAGCTTCCCGGTCCCTGGGGTCCCTAGATCACCATCAGGGTGCAGGTAAAATATACTTGCCTTGACAGCCCCCTAACATTTAACCCTGGCTGCTCTGGCAGGAGAGGAGGGAAGCACACTACTGTTACCAGGGTCTCCGAGGTAGGAAGGACTGAACTGGGCACCTGGAGCTGTGTGGTCTCTGACAAGTCCCTTTGCTTATCAGTAAGTACCCAGCGTCCTGACCTGAGAAATGGGCGAGACGCCCCCAACTCTGTCTTTTCCCTTGACACCTGGCAGTGAGAATGTTCTAGAAAATAAATCGGGACAAGGGCTAAAAGGAGACCCTGAAAGTCTGCAGGGTGGACTGGCTGGGTCTGCAGATCCCTGCCCTGGGACAAGGCTGGTGCTGAAAGCTACACCAAGGGAAGAGTCAGTAGGTGCCCAAGGAGGGGGCAAAACCCTGGAGATCTGTGGTGAAACCCAGCGTCCCAGCTGTCTCTCGTGGTCTCCTAGGTGTTTCTGAAAAAAACTCTCCCTCGGCCCCTTCCCTGGCATCCTGGAACACCCTCAAACCACTGTCAGCCCCTACGGGCCTCTCCACCCAGACAGAGCCCCCCAGGGAATCGGCAGAAGGCAGCACCTGCTAGCACAGGGTAAGGAAGGGCCACAGCGTTTTCAGGAAGCTGCAGCCCGCGGTTCGAATCCTGGGTTCATTTCAGTGGGCGCTGTGAGACCTCCAGGTCTCTTCACTCCCAGGGCCTCGGCTCCCCTCTGCAAAGGTTAGCCAGAGGAATTGGGGCCTTTCTAGTCTGGGCCTGCCCCCTACGAGGGCACATAATAATGGCCCCTATTGTCATTGTGATTCACTAGCTGCAGGGAGAGGTCACCGAGCGGTGGTTAGGAACCTGGGATCGCCCTCCTAATCTTGGGGTCCTTAGAACCCTGGGCAGGCCTGGAACTTTCTCCAGCAGAGATCAAAATGCACCGGGCTCAGGCTTTTCCCGCAGACAGATGGCGATGCCGCCTCTTCGGCCCCTCCGCCAAAAGTCAGGGAGCAGGTTTCAACACTGCTCGTGGGAAAGAGTGTACCCATGGCCTCTCTCCCTGGAGAGACCCCAGTGTCACTATTCCTTTGCAGCGAGCGACCTTGGCATTCGAGGTCCTCGGGGCCCGGGAAGGGGACAGAGGAGGCGCCGCCGGCGGGGAGCGGGGAGCGCGCACCTGCTGCAGGTGAGGCCCAGCTTGCGGAAGGGGGAGGAGCCGTCGCGCAGCACCCGGGTGGGCTGACCCCCAGCTCGGCCCCCGAGGGCGGCCGAGGACATCCGCGGGCGTCGACGTAGCCCCTGTGAGGCGATGCGCGCTGCAGACGGCGGCCCCAGCGGCTCCGAGCCCCGCGCCGCGCGACGGCCCCAGGAGAACATTCGAGGCAGCGGCGGCGTTGGAGGCCCGGGGTCCGTTCGGTATTTGAATAGCACAAAGGAACCGCCTTGGTCTGATTGGTCAGCGGAGCGGCCGAGGGGCGGGCAGCGCCTGTCACTCGGGAGGCTCTGCGTCTTTTTATTGGCTTAGCCGGTGGGAGGCGGGGTCAGGCTTCCCGGTTAAATAGCTGGGGCCGGGCCGGCCGAGGCTCATTGCTTTGGCGCCGTCTGGGGAGCGTGAGCTAGCGGGTGGTGCGCGGCGCATGGTGGCGGCTCCTCTCGGAGCGCAGACGACCCGCTGACCCGGGCTCCGTTTTCCCTTGCCCGGTGCGCCTCGGTAGCCGACTGAAGGCAGAAACAGCAGCAGTACTAACAGGAGCAGCGGCGGCTGCTTCGCCGCGGGAGCATGGAGTGCGCCCTGGACGCCCAGAGCCTGATCAGCATCTCCCTGCGCAAGATCCACAGCTCCCGGACCCAACGCGGCGGCATCAAGCTGCACAAGAACCTCCTGGTGTCCTACGTGCTCCGCAACGCGCGCCAGCTCTACCTGAGCGAGCGCTACGCCGAGCTCTACCGGCGCCAGCAGCCTCCGCTGCAGCCGCAGCCGCCCCTCCACCAGCACCAGCCCCTCGGTTACGCGGCGGCGGCGCCCGGCATGCCGGCCAGCTCCGCCGACTTCGGCCCGCTCCAACTTGGCGGCGGCGGGGACGCGGAGGCGCGCGAGCCGGCCGCCCGGCACCAGCTGCACCCGCTTCACCAGCTCCACCAGCTGCACCTCCAGCAGCAGCTGCACCAACCCCAGCAGCACCCGGCGCCCAGGGGCTGCGCGGCAGCGACAGCGGCCGGGACGCTCGCGGAGCTGCCCGGGTGCGCCGCGCTCCAGCCGCCGCACGGCGCGCCCCACCGCGGGCAGCCCCTGGAGCCACTGCACCCGGGTCCGCCGCCGCCCGCGCCCTCCGCGCTCTGCCTGCGGGACCCTCGCGCCTCCGCCGCCTGCTCCGCGCCCTCCGCGCCCCCAGGGGCCGCCCCTCCGGCCGCCGCCTCCCCGCCCATCTCTCCGGCCCCCGCCTCCTCCTCCAGCTTCTACAGGGGCGCGTACCCGGCCCCCTCGGACTTCGGCGTGCACTGCAGCAGCCAGACCACGGTGCTGGACCTGGACACACACGTGGTGACCACGGTGGAAAACGGCTACTTGCACCAAGACTGCTGCGCCTCCGCCCACTGCCCCTGCTGTGGCCAGGGCGCTCCGGGACCGGGCCTGGCATCCGCCGCCGCCGGGTGCAAGCGCAAGTATTACCTTGGCCAGGAGGACGAAGACGAGGAGGAAGAAGACGCGGGCGACTTGGGGGCCGAACCCCCGGGGGGCGCCCCGTTTGCCCCCTGCAAGCGCGCCCGCTTCGAGGACTTATGCCCGGACTCGTCCCCGGACGCGTCCAACATCTCAAACTTGATCTCCATCTTTGGCTCGGGCTTCTCGGGGCTGGTTAGCCGACAGCCGGACTCAGAGCAGGCGCCGCCGCTCAACGGGCAGCTGTGCGCCAAGCAGGCGCTCGCCAGCCTCGGCGCCTGGACTCGAGCCATTGTCGCCTTTTAGGGACCCCCGAGGGTACGGGGACCGGGGGCCCCGCGGGGCTGGGGCCAGACAAAGACTCAGCCTAGGGGCGAGAGGAGGGAGAGAGCGGGCGTCCACCCACTCGGACCTGAGCTGGGGGCGAGCAGGGGAGGCGGCTGATGTTTTATAATTGTAAAATAAAAAAAGAATTATAAAATCTTGGACTTTATTTTTGCAGAGAAAAAGCGCCTATTTAAGTATGCTTTGTGTTTCTCCTCTCCCCCCCCCTTTTTATTGTAGTGATTGCAGTGGTGTTTAGCGAGGAGCCTGCCACGTGAGGGAGGGCTACGGCCCGGAGGAGGTGCGGGGCGGCCGGGGGCGAGGCAGGGCGCGCGGGCTACCGGGGCGCACCGGGGGCGCAGCGCAGGAGGGCGCGGAGCTGGGGACGCAGATTCCAATCAGTTGTCAGACGCGGGAAGCCCGACGTTCCGCTCTCCCGAGTCCCTCGGTGGGGTGAGGAATGAGTCTTGTGAAATCCTCAGCAAAAAACAAAGGCAAACTATCTCCAAAAGGGACGTTTGGGTCACATTTCCTCTCTGGGGGCGGCCTCCAAAGTTCTCCAAATGAGAAGGCAGAAATGAAAACACTTCAACTTTTTTTTTCTTTTCTTTTCTTCCTGGAGCGGGTGTTTTGAACCCCTCCTCTCCCCGCCCCTCTGGCTCTGTTCCCCTCCCCTCCTCCACTCATCTCCTGCACTCCGGGGTGGCGTCCGACACCCCGACACTCTGGATACTCTTTGGGGAAGGGGTGGGGGGCGAGCATAGAGGACTACATTTCCCATCATGCCCAGCACTGCGGTCCTCACTAAACAAAAAAGGAAGTCGATTCCTTTACCTGGATCCTCAGCGGCCCCGGGGGAGGGAGGGGCCGGGACCGTCGACTGCGTCCGAGACTTCTCACTAAGTTCCTGGTCAGCTGTGGTGTTTGTGTGTGTGTGTGTATTCCTGAGTTGCGAAGTCCTGGCTCAGCCTTCGGCCGCATTTCATAAAACCAGCATTGTTCGAGCTTGTGAGAACCCCGTCCTGTGGTCTTCAGCTCCATAGATTTTAATTTAAGAGCCTTTTGTTGTTTAAAAAAAAGAAAAAGAAAAAGATGGTTCATCTGCAGCCCCTCTAGCACCATGCGAACAAGTTGCCAACCTTTCCCTTCCCCTGCCGTTCTCTCTTGTTCTCCTGTATTTTGTGCATACTGGATTGTATATCACCGGGTAAAACTGTTCAGATGATTTGTTTAAATTTATAATCTTAATAAAAAGTCGATTGTAGAGTACGGTGGTGCCTTGTTTTCAGATGGGCCTGGGGGGAAGCGAGCGGGATCTGCCCACATCCGCAAGGCCGGGGTGGGGACGGGGAGGGGGGTGGAGGGATGTTGGTGCTGGGGATGGAGCCGGGGCTGCGCGCGCGCCTCCGGGTCCCCTCCCTCACCCGCCCGCAGGTCTTGCCCCCCATGGGAACCGGCCGCCCCGGGGTCTCCAGCTGGAGGCCGCGCCAGCCTCATCCCACTCGCTCCCCAGCAGCTAGGGGCGCAGGAACCGCTCGGCCTCGAGTCTGAGCTCCCTGCAACCGGGGGGCTCCCGGGCCACCCACACTCCCCGCCCCGTGCGTCTGCCCGCACGTCCGCACGTCTCGGGCTGTAACTTGAGGAAGTTTTTTCCTTTCCTTTTTTTTTTTTTTTCTTTTTTTTTTTTTTTTTAAGTTGAGTTTGTTATCACTGCTCGGTGCCACTTGGTGGTGTACTGGCGGCGTCTCCCTCCCTCCTCGCGCCCCTCCCCTCCGTTCCTCCGCTCCCTCGGCTCCCGCCTCCCCGCCCTCCCCAGGATGGAGGCAGGAAAGCTCCGGGCGCGCTCCCCTCTGACCACCTACGGAATGACCTCAGAGCGGGAGAATGTGCCAAGGCCCGGGGGAAGCTCGCGTGCTCCCCGCTGCAGCCCAACGCACATCTGGAGCCGCGGCTGGGCCCGGGGGCGCGCGAGCGGTTCCAGCTCTGTAAGGAGGGGATGGTAAAGAAAAGAACCGGGCGGAGAGGGGGTGTCGCAAAACGAGGCAAGCAGCTGCCTGCTTGCTCTGCGTGTCTGACGGGGGTCTCTCGATATCTCTCCATCTCTGGCTCTCTCCCCAGAGCTCCACGGTTATTAGGAAGATTGGCCTGTAGTCTTTTTTTTTTTTTTTTTTTTTGGTTTACCGTTTCTCTGGTTTTGGTCTCAGGGCAATGTCTGTAAAGCTCCAGCACCCCCCTTTCCACGCGGGCACCCCCGCCCGAGCCACATGGCAGGACGGCTCAGCCTTCTTGGCCGACGCTCGATGCCCCCCGCCCCGACTTGGGGAGGTGAGTCCTCAGGGACCACTCGGCTCCAGAACCCGGTGTCCCGCGAGACGAAGTTCTCGGGGACACTCTCCAGGACGCGGGGGGGGGGGGCGCGGGGCCGCGACGCAGGTGGGGGAAGAGGGAGGATCTGGAGGCGTTGCGCTACGGGGAGGAAAGGCACCTTCATCGCCACCTCCCCTGGGGCTGTTTTCTCGGCCTCCCACGGGAAGAGTCTGGAGCTGCTGAGGAGGGGGAACAGCACGTGTCCCCCTCCCCATTTCTCTCGCTGCAAGTCCAAGGAAATAGCTGCGGGCTGCGCCGTTGTGGCTGCATCCGCCAAGCCAATTGCCAGAGCTCCCCCTAGCGCCGCTTCGAGGGCGCTGCAGCGGCTGCGGATGGGAGTGGGCGAGGCCCGGCCGGGGGCGGCGGCGCTGCGGGGGGCGGCGGTGCGCACCCAGTGCAGCGGCGCCGCGGCCCACCCAGCCCTGGCTGGCGGGGGCGGAGCCCGGGAAGCCACAAGCGTCCCGGATCCACGACCGTGTCAAGGAAGGCACGTGCCTGGTCGCCTTTGTTGGGAACATGAGGCTGGTCACCGGAAGGGACCGGCAGGGAGCGGGGCCGAAGCCCGCACGGGTCGCCCCCCATCTTCCCTGAGGAGGTGTGTGGTGGGAGGGTGGGTAGGTGGGTGGCGAGGTGCGAAGTCAAAGCTCTGAAAGCCTCAGGAGCCCCATCTTAGGGCTCCCCACCCCTTGCCTCTGTGATGGGCAGGCAGAGGCAGATGCTCTTCTCATCTTGTTTAGAAATGAGAATATTTAGGGCCGGACATGGTGACACACGCCTGTTTTCCCAAGTATTCCGGAGGGTGAGGCAGGAGGATTGCTGCCCAGGAGTTCAAGGCCAGCCTGAGCAACACAAGCATTCGCCTATCTCCAAAACTCAAAACTCTGCACTGAGAAATGAGTTTGCCCAGGATCACACCCTTAAGTGGCCAGTCTCCACCTCCTGCCACTCACAGTGTGGAGGGGAAGAATCCAACATTATGATGCATTGTGATGTGATGCAAGTGGCAAGTGGCCAGGAAGTGGGGGCTATGTCCTGCTGCTTCATCCAGGTCAGGCACTGACTGACATGGTAGGGGACAACGGCATGCCTGGCACCTGTTTGGGCGAAAGGTAGGTCTCCTTAGCGCTTGTGCTAAATGGCATATTTGGCTTCAGGTACAGTTAGATCCAGGTACAGTTAGATTCAGGTGCAGAGCGGCAGGATGCTTTCCTCAGTGTCCTTTGCCTTTCTGCCCTGCATCTGCCCCTCCCACTCTCTGACCACAGACCAGCTTCGGGCTCCCCAGGAGGAAATGGCCTCTCTCCTGATTGCTAACTCAAGAAAATCCCAGGAAAGGACTCTGTCAGGTCCCAAAAGGACCTGGTCCTGTCCCAAGCCTGGGGCCAGGCCTGAGGGGCAATTGGTAGCCCCCACTGGAAACTCCCAGGCAGAGAAAAGTGCCACTTGTCACACCCCGGGGGGACATCCGGGATACCAGTAACACAATCTGACCACTGTCCAGATAAAAAGGGCTGCCTACCGGGCATAGCACACACCTGTAATTCTAGCACTTGGGAGGCTGAGGCAGGAGGATCACTGTGAGTTTGAGGCCAGCCTAGACTACAAGGGAAACCTTGTTTCAAAAGAGCCCAGAATCGCCCCTCCTGCACCCCACTTTTTGGCATGGTGGTTTCTGGTGCTGGGATGGAACCCAGGGCCTCAGGCAGGCTTAGGTGGGTGCTCTACCGCTGAGCTGCACCCGTACCCTATACCCTGTTTTTGTTAAAAAGATAAACAGGGCAGAAAGCGAGGCTGACGGTGTGCTGGGTGATAAAGCACCCGTGGAGCTTGTCTGCAGCCCTGAAAAATCAAATATTTAAAACACAAGCTCGGGCTGGGGATTTAGCTCAGCGGCATAAGCGCCTGCCTTGCAAGCAGGCAGTCGTGAGTTTGATCCCTGGTACTGATAAAAAGGAAAAAGACAAAAAAAAAAAAAAAAAAAAAAAAAAACCACAAGCTCACCCTGGGACTCAGTCTGGCCATGCCCCTCGTGAGCCCTGAGCCAGCCCTACCTGCCCATCATCAGTCACTAGTCACCGCACAAGATTTGCTGGGGAACCCGGTGGAGGGGCAGCAGGAGAGACACGTGCCCCAGAGCATTCTCAGCCACTTGGGCGGAAGCCCAGGAGGAAGAGGCCAAGCTCAGCAGAAAGGGCATGGGCTCAGCCTCCAGAGAGCCCAGCTCAGGTCCTGACTCAGGAGGAGACTTCCCTGGGCCCGGGCTGAGTCACTTCCCCGCTGCCTCAGCTGTGCAGCCAGCGCCAGAGATCAGAAGTGCTGTCCAGGGCCAGCTCCTGCCCTCCCAGGGTCAGGACCACTCCACCAGGGGCTGCGAGCACAGCTCCACAGCACAGTGCTTCCCGGGTAGAAGGATTAGGGTGGGGAAGGAGCCATGGCTTCCAACTCTCTGATGATGTGAGGCCCTGTGTCCAACCAGAGTAAGAAAAGCACAGGTGATGTCAGGTTCCACAGCTGCCTGTAAGTGCCCCGTGTCTGGTTACCCCCGCGCTCAGAGGCTGAGGCAGAAGGATCTCTACAAGTTCCAGGCCAGCCTGGGCTCCATAGTGAGTTCAAGGCCATCCTGAACTACATAGGGAGATCCTGACTCAAAAAAAAAAAAAAAAAAAAAAAAAAAAAAGCATTCTTCCAATACTGTTTCTTTAGAAAGAGGAACAGTCTGAAGGAGGTGGGACTTTAGATTTGGTGAGCAGGAAGGTTAACTGCGTGGAGCGGAGTGGAACAAGGTAGTGATATCAGTCAGCATGGGATCAGTTATGCTGCAGTAACAAATTAACCCCCTTTTGGAGGTTTAGCACAACAAAGCATTCTTTCTTTTCTTTTTTTTTTTCAACAGGGTCTCATTGTGCAGTTCAGGCTGACCTTCAATTCACTTTATAGGCCAGGCTGGTCTCCAGCTTACAACAATCCTCCTGCTTCAGCCTCCTGAGTGCTGGCGAGCAAGGTGTGCCCCTACACACCCAGGTTAATGAAGTTTTCTTTTTGTTTTGCTTTGTTTTTTTGATTTTGGGGTTTTTGAACCAAACTCTCCTACAGTTCCCCATGGAGTAACATGGCAATTTTGGCTACTTCTTTCCTTGTGTTTTTTTGTGTTTTTTTGAGATAGGGTCTTGCTGTGTGCAGGGTGGTCTTGAATGTGAACCCATCCTCCTGCTTCAGCCTCCCAGGTGCTAGGGTTACAGGCCTGTACCTCAGCGCCTCGATGCTGCAATGCTTCTGTGTCGAGGCATCTGGTGAGGATCCACAGCCCAGCCTAGAAGCCGTTTCCCCTCCACCCACGGGGCCAGGGGAGCCCTGTGCCTGTGCCTGTGCCTGATTGCAAGAGTGGAGGCTCGGGAGAAGCCGCGCCCATGAATGAGCACTGGGGCTCGCTGTGACATAGGGGAAGAACATTCTAGGCAGGATGAATGGAAAGGGCGAAGACGACCCCCCAGGCCACCACGTGTTCCCAGGTGGCCAAGGCAGCAGGCAAGGGGCAGAGTGGCAGGAGATGGGGTGACAGAGGAAAGCAGGCTTGGGCCCAGTGGCCTGCATCCACTGTGGGAGGCATTAGAGTGTACCCTAAGTGCATTGTGGGTGAGTCCCAGCCAAGCCATCCACACACTGGGGTTCGAGTCCCAGCTTTGTCCCTGTGGGACTAAAGTAAGCAGCCTCAGGGTTCCTGGAGAGCAGTGAGCAATTTAGTTGTGACCCAAGCAGGGGTTTCTATTGATGCCTATCCCCTGCAGGCCCTCAAGAAACCAGCCACCAGCAGTGGTGGCCCATGCCTGTCATCCCAGCATTCAGGAAGCCGAGGCAGAAGGATTACAGGGAGTTCAAGGCTGGCCTGGGCAACACAGTGAATTCAAGGCCAACCTAGAACACATACTGAGACCCTGTCTGGGAAAACAAAACCATGCAACAGAAGTCTCAGCAGTTACAGACAGCACAGAACTTCCTTCTTTCTGGGCGGTGAAGGAGGTGCTGGAGGGGCAGGGGTAGGAGAAGCCAGCTTGCAGTCTGGCCAGCTGCCCTGACCAGTTCTCCTGGTTGTGTCCAGCCCACTGCAGCAGGCCCCACCTGGGTCAGGATGATATGGGTGCTACAGGGTTTCCCGGCCACCCTCCCTGGGGCACACGCACTTCCCAAGCCCAGCCTGATTGTTCTAAGCCACAAACCAGCTACAAATCAGGCGCTGCCACCTTCCAGGTGACCACAGGCTCCCAGTGCCGCCTCTCAGAAGCCCCAGTTCCTCGTCGGCAGAATAAAGGGGCGCAGGAGAACACCCACTTACGGAGTGAGGTGTCTACAGCTGGGAGCATGGTACACGGTCCATGCTCAGGAAGGGACAGCTGTGATGGTGGCACTGGTCAACTCTGACCAGGGTGGTCCTTTGCCCAAACCCCCAGGACAGTTTTCCCACTGACACTCTCCAGCTGAGCAAAGGGATGGCCAAGGAGTGAGACCTCGCCAGGGCACAGTGGCACACACCTGTGGTCCCATTACAGGAGGCTGAGGCAGGAGCGCTAGGCCAGCCCGGGCTGCATAGTGAACTGAAAGCCAGCCAGAACCTCATACCAAGACCCCGGCTGAAAAAATGAAAATGAACAGAAAAAATTCAGTGTAAGAAGGGCAGCCCCCAGCAAGGTGTCTGTGCCTCTTCAGGGCCTGGCTGTGGCTGATCAGAGTTACTGTGTGGGGTTGATCAGCGCATTCAGCATCTGTGCCTGGCAATGAATGAATGAAAGAAAGAGCAGATGGTAGGATGGATGGACAAACTATTTGTCCATTCCAGGGAGTGGCTTTCAGAGGAAACTGTTGGTGAGAGGTCTTCCACCTGTCCTCCTACTAGGCCTTCCCCACTCTCCAGCCCACACTGCTGATCTCTGACTCTTTCCCTTTCCGGTCCCCATCCTGGCACCCACGTGCGCACGCACACACCTCCTTTCACACCCACTTCAGTCAGCCTGCAGAAGCGGAGAGACTGGGGAATAAAACTTGCCTTTGTAGGGAAGCATTCGAGACCCAAGGCAGATAAAGCATGTGACCTGTAGCAGAACACAACCATGCGGGGAGGGACTGCTAGACTAGGTGACCTACAGACATTCCAGCACCATGATGGACAGGCCCAACTTCACTTTGTTTTGCTTTGTTTTTTGAGACGGGGTCTCGCCGTGTAGTTTAGGCTGACCTTGAACTCCCTTTGTCACCCAGTCTGGCCTTAAACTCCCTGCGATCCTCCTGCCTCAGCCTCCAGAGTACTGGGAGATTACAGGTTTGCACTACCACAGCCCCGACAGACCCAAGATTCTTTCTGAAAGGAACCAGGGCATCTGGATCTGAGGGCCAGGTTGTCTGCTCCACAGGCCTCATCGAGTTCCAGCCTCAGAAATGCAACTCAAGCCCCCTCAGACAAAGGGGTCTTATTTTTTGACTCAGAAATTAGGAGGTCTCCAGGCCTTTAGCTTGGGCACAGCTGGACGCCAAGGCCCCATGATCTCATCTGGGCTTGTTTGCTCTCTCTCTTGGACTTTCCCTATCTTCTTGGCCTCTTTTTAGGTTTTCTGTGGCTTCAAGGAGACCAGCCAGAGGCAGTGCTCTTGCACGTGGCTATGTTCAAATCATATGCTCCGGGTTTAACGCCTTGCAGCTACCCTCATGAAATCCATAATTGTTTTATCTTTGAATCTGTTTTGGACACGAAGTCTGGGTTAACAGGAGCATGAGCCAGAGGCTTAAAGCTTCACTCCAGTGCTATCCTGTCCCTGCCATCTTCCCACCTGCCAGGGACGGGTTCCTTCCCATCCGACACACACAGACTTGTTTAGATAGAGCATGCCCCGCCCCCACCCTGCCTGGGCACTGGGTTCTGCTGTAGCGCGCAGGCAGGACTCAGGACAAGAGTCTGGTGGCTGGGGGAGGTGAGCCTGCAGCTGCCAGGTATCGCGGGTAGGAAATGCAGAGGCAGGCACAGCAAGGACCTTCGACGACAAACCACAAAATACGAATTGAGTCCTTTCAGTGAGTCTGCATGTAAAGTAAATGCTGTGATATTTGTATGCTGCGATATAAAGATTAAATGGCAAAACTCCATGCTAGTCATTTAAAATTTTAATTTTTCCTTACTTCAAAAGACAGTAAACAGAAAATTAAAAACCCATGACGCTACAAAAGAGATCAGAAAGTGTCATTTTTTTTCCTGCTTGTTGGGCAATGGGCCCTACAGCTTCACTTCTCCCTGGGCCCCGTATTATGTGCCTGACCGGCCAATGGCATCGCCAGGATCCCCACCTTCCCAGCTCAGCAAGCCAGGCAGGAAGGCATCTTCCCAACAGCTCCAACAGGAAGTACAACAGAGACCTCATTGGCAGGCTTGGGCCACGTGCAGAGCTCTGGGCCAATCATAGCAAGGGGGGAGGCAGGAGCCCTCTGATTGGTCAGGTCTGGGCACGTGGCCATCCCTAAGCTTAGAGGCCTGGTCAACCCCACCTCCTCCCACTTCCCATGGGTTCTGCAGGGAGGAGGGATTCTGTTCCCACACAACCCTCTGCTTAGTTTGAAAAATGAAAAACGTTCTGTTCCTGTCTCCTCGCCTCCTCTGTGGGGTGCTCCTGTCCTTCCTCCAAATGCTGGGGATCCAGGGCTCAGAACTGGCCCCCTTCTCCTGGTCCCCACCGTCCAGGGACAGCACCCCCCTAGTACCACCCCAGGGCCCATCCTGCCTCATCTCTGCTCTTGGGGTACCCACAGCTCAGAGCTGACCTGTCTGAATCGAAGCCACGAATGCCTTCTCTGCCTGCAGAATCAATCAATAAAAGCAGCTGGTGGGTGATCTCGCTCCCGGCACTTGATGATTTCAGTGGTATAAATCCTCCTGCCTTAGCCAGTTCAGAACCGCCAGGGTAGCCCGTGCTCTCCTCCTCGCCGGGGCCGGCTCAGCACACTCCAGCCTCCTCCTCGCGGCCCGCCCCGCACCAAGGCCTTGGCACCTGCGACCCCTTTCCGGGGACTGCTGGGACTCAGCTCTCCGCACACGAACACTGGTTGCTTGTGCGTAGGGGGGTCTCCTTCCACCTCTCGCCCTGAGGACCCTTGCCAAATTGCACCCACTTGTTTTTCAGTTTCTCTCTCGCTGTTTGCCAGTGCGTTTGTCATGCGACTCTCTTCTCACCGGCAGCCCTGGAAGACACGGTGCCTGCACACAGTAGACCTTCTGCAAACTTCTGTTGGTTGCAGGAAGCATTTCCTGCAAGTTACCCGGACACTGGGAAGCTGGCTGCCTACAGAGCGTGGATGGCCCAGAGGGAGAGGAGGAGGCTGAAGGTGTGGGCTTGTTTGCCAATGTGAGCTCTTGGACTGTCCTGCCGCGGCAGGTGCCAGCCTTGGGTTATCAAACGCAGGACAGCTTCGGCTCGGTCTCTGGCTTGCTGCTCCCCTTCTGCCCTTGAGAATGTCTTGCCCGCTCGGCTTCTGAAGGCCAAGGCCACCCAATGTACCTGCCCCCATCCAGGTGCTACCCACACTTGGGAGTGAACCAGGGAACCACTGAGGGCCCCCAGGGACCTGACCAGCATCACTTTTTCAGCTTTTTCACTTCCATTCCTTTGTTCCTTCATTCATTCCTTGTTCCACAAATAGCTTGTGGACATCTGCATTCTCTGGGCCAATCACTGGGGACCTACACTGATCCCGGACACTGGGAACTCAATGGTGACCCAAAGAGGCCTACATCCTGCTCTCATGAGCTCTCTGGCACCAGAGTAAAATCAGGTTGTGAAGGACCAGTGGAGGAACTGGAAGATGGCAAAGTGGAGAACAGCTGGCGTGGGGATGGCATCCTTGGCAGAAACTCAGAGGAGACAGAGAGTCATTGTACAGAGATAGCATCTGAACTGAGTCCCCAAAACCCAAGAGAGGCCTTGCTTGGCCTGGTGTCCTGCAGTCTGAGTTGAAGGAGCAACAGGTGCAAAGGCCCTGAGGCAACACCAAGCTTGACATTTTGGTTGGTCAGGGATAGAGCACTGCAATGAGAAGTAAAAAGATGGACCCATGTGGTAGAGATTCCCATTTGCAATGAGACCATTAAGGAATCTGACAGGATCTACTGAGCAGCACAGGGCACAGCCCAGGCAAGGAAGACAGAGGGGAGTCAGGGCCCCAGAGAGAGGACAGCTGACAGTGACCATGGTGCAGGGAAGAGAGAAGTGGTAACTGTGAATTACATATATTCCTCATTTAATCACCCACTTGTTTAACAATGGTTTAGATTTATGACCTCCACTCAAACTTATAACCAGTCCTTTTTGTTTGATACAGTTCTGTACATCTTGTCTATCGAGCCTCAGCATCTTGGATGGTACACCGTTTGTACAGCACTTGTTATAGTTTGCGTCTAGATGTCCCCCAAAGCCTCATACAGTTGTAGACTGGACTCTTTCAGAGGTGGCTGAATCTAGAGTGTGGGATTGGTTCATGGTTCAATGCTAGGATTGAAAAATGTGCTGGGTCAGTCCACTGATTGGATTGGTACCGCCCTAACCTGGGAAACCAGATACAATACAAAGAGCAGAAAGAGGCCTGCTCTTTTCTTGTTCTTTTTTTTTTTTTTTTTCTTTTTATCGATACCAAGGATCAAACTCACGACTGCCTGCTTGCAAGGCAGGTGCTTATGCCGCTGAGCTAAATCCCCAGCCCCATCTTTTCTTGTTTTTTTGCTGTCTTCCACTGCCATGAACTGATGCCTCTTTGCCATGTGCCCCCCTGCCTTGGAGCCAGCTGATGATGGACTGAAACCTCTACAAACTGTGAGTTAAATACAGCTTTCTTCCTTTAATTTTGGGTGTCCAGCAATGAGAAAAACTAACTAAAACAGAATTTTGTACCAAAGGTGTGGGATCATTGCTGTGATTGTTTCTGACCATGTGGTTCAAGAGCCCTTGGGAATGGCTTGTGGGAAGAGTTAGGAAAGGTTAGGAGATGCTGGCTGAAAAAGCAGAGCTGGAAGGCCTTAGGCTGTTCTGCATGGGAGAACTGAGGTGGTCAGAGCTCAGAAGACCAGAAGGCTGAAAGAAATTCTACCAGTAAAGACCGGGCTCGGGAGTTTTCTTCTGGGAAGAAGGACTGCATCAGCTGCTGAACTCCAGATGATATATGTTATGGCTTGACAGAAATTTCATCTGCATTTTGTTCATGTCCAGAGACTCTGCCTGAGACTGAGAGTAAAGGCAGAGGACTAATTAATCTTACAGAAGAAATTTCAAGGCAGTCTAATTTTTTGTCTTTTTCGTTTTTTTTTTTTTTTTTATCGGTACCAGGGATCGAACTCACGACTGCCTGCTTGCATGGCAGGCACTTATGCCACTGAGCTAAATCCCCAGCCCCAAGGCAGTCTAATTTTGAGGTGGTGGCATGGCTGCTGTTGGGAGCCTTTCTGTTGAGATATATGTTGAGATTCAAGAGCAAAAAGCCCAGCAGAATGATTTAAAATGTTTTGAGTTCAGCCAAAAAGGAAGCTGCAGTAAAGTTGTGGACTGCAAAGATAAAGCTGGGGAGACCTTGATTACTGAGAAGGACAAGAGAATAGAAGAGATGGCCTGAGAGCATCACAAGAAGCAGCAGGACCCCACTCTTCTCAGCCTCAGAACTACCAAAGTGAAAGAGAGGCCCAGAGCACCATGGCCTAGAATTTATTCCTCAGGCTCATGTGCCTAGTGCTCACTGACCCAGGCACCCCTTCTCTACAGCAAAGAGATAGGGAAGCCTGGCTACTGCTCCAGCTGGCAGAGGACCGTGGCATCATCCATGTGGTGCTGGTTTTAGGTGCATGCAGAATGCAAGAATTGGGGGATCAGGAAGTCTTCCACCCAGATTTCAGATGGCCTGGGAGGCAGGTCAGGCATTGTGCACCTGAGAGGGCAGTGTCTGAAGCTGTGAGCGTAAAGCCAAAGGTGCTGTGGAGACCTCCTCAGACGTTTGGAGAAGCCAGGAATGTGGACATCTGAGGAAACCTGCAAGGAGGGAGTAGAGCAGGCCCAAGAGAGAAGCCATGGGAACTACAATCAGTAACAGAGCCATAGGGGCAGAGCCACTGAAACCCTTTGGGGCTCACATCTTGCCACAGATCACCTCAGAGGCTGCACACGCAACTACACGGCTTAATGTCTGCCCTGCTGGATTTTGGACTTGCTTTGGTCCCAATCCTTTGTGTCCCCATTTGTAACTTTTGGAGTGCAAATGTCTATCTTGTACCACTGAATGCTGAAAGCATTTAACTTTCATTTGTACAGGGGCTCACAGCTAAGAGTTTGCCTTAAGTGTCAGAGATTTAGGGCTCGGACTTTTTGACCATGCTGAAACTGTTAGGACTTACGCAACTCTTAGAGGTGGACTAAATACCTTTTGCATAAAAGAATATACATGAATCTTTTGGGGGTCTGGGGTGGAATGTTATGGTTTATGTCTAGATTTCCCCCAAAGCCTCATACAGTTTTGGATAGAGGCAGCTGAATCTAGAGTGTGTGACTGATTCGTAGTTCAGTGCTGGGAGTAAGGGTGCTGGGACTGCAGGTGGATGATTGCTGGATCAGTCCACGACCCAGACTGGCCCCGCCCTAGTCCAGGAGACTGGATATAAGGAACAGAAAGAGGCTTGCCCCGTACCCTTTTCTCTCTGCTTGTGCTGTCTTCTGTGGCCACGAACTGTTGCCCTCTGCCATGTGCCACCCTGCCTTGGAGCCAGCTGGTTATAGACTGAAACCTCCACAAACTATGAGCTAAATAAAACGTTTTTCCCTTTAATTTTGCGTGTTGAGTATTTTATCTTAGCAATAAGAAAAAAGTAACTAAAATGTTGCCATAGTTTTTACTAATTGTATTATATAGTATAGTACTCTAGGTTTACACTGTTGTGTATTACAATACTGCATGTAAGAGTTATGCAAATAAAAGCAAAGTTTGAATTTCCTTTACCATTTTTTTGCTCTGAGCCTTGTATGTACATACTGTGTACAATTCCTCATTTAGTGAGCAATCCAACAGCCTAGGCAGAGGAACGGAGAACTATGTTGTTAAATGAGGGGCATGCGTATAATTTTAGGGAAATCCAGGAGCTCCTGTTCATGGATTCATGCCATGGTTTAGAGCTAAAGCATCCCAAATGTCTCACATTTGGAGGTGGAGCGTGGTTACAAGGAGTCGGTCATGGGCTGTGACCTGAAGGGTGAGTTCTTGTCCCTGGTTCTTCCCTTTTCTCTCTGCTTCCTGGTCACCATGATGTGAGCAGCTCTGCCTACCAGGCTGCCGTGCCACTTCTGCCTCAAATCCAGCTGACCGTAAACTAACCCCACTGAAACCATGAGTCAAAATGAAGCTGTCTTCCTTTACTTATTTATTTTTGTGGTACTGGGATCAGACTCACAACCTCGCACTTGGCAGGCAGATGCTTGTGCTGCTGAGCTAAATTCCCGGCCCTGCTTTGTATTTTCTTGAGACAGGGTCTCACTACGTAGGTCAGACTGGCCTTGAACTCACTTAGGTAGCCCAAGCTGGGCTTGAACTCATGGTGGTCTTCTTGCCAGAGCCTGCTAAGTGCTGGGATTATAGGCTTGCACCACAGCCCTGGTTTACATTACTTTTTATATCACAAATGCTTTTCATTTTTATTAGAACGTGTTTGCAATACATAATGAACATATTCCTTGTGGAAAGTTTGGATGTGTACATTACACGCCTTATTTATGCCCTTACCTCCTCCTCCCTCCATCTCTCGATCTTTCCCATTTGAGAAATATTTACAGGGTACCCCAGTTTACTGTGAGAGTTTGGGGAAGTTGGACGTGTTTGTCTGGGGAGGATTAGCTGGTGTTGTCACCCCATGTGGAGTCTGCAGATAGAAGCAAATTTTTGCCGAATACTTTTGTTTGCAAACTGAATTGTTTGCAAGGATTCACAAATCAAGGTACCACTATCTTTTATTTTGTTCTTTATTCATATTTTGGGTTCTCATGATAAACTATGTGACTCACCTAACATTATGGTCTGAAGATGTACCCATTTTTCCACGAATAACTCAAGTTTATACTTCTTTCTGGCAAAGTCATACTTCACTGAGTGTAATTTATTTTTGGCTTTTTGAGATGGGGTCTCACTATGCAGTTCAAGCTGGCTGAGCTCACTTTGTAGCCCAGGCTGGTCTCAAACTCCAAAGATCCTCCTGCCTCAGCCTCCTGAGTGCTGGGATTATAGGCGTGACCCACCACACCCAGCTCTCATATTTTCTTAAACATTTCATCTGTTGAGGGATACATAGCCTGTGTCCAAGTTTAGCTGTTAAACAAATTATGCTTCTGTAACCATGGGTATGCCTCGATCCTGTTACATGATGTACTTAACTCTTTGGGGAAGACACTTAGAAGGGAAATAACTGGTCAAATGGAATTTCTACTTTTTTTTTTTTTTTTTTTTGAGAACTCTCCATACTGATCTCCATTGTGGTTGTCCTAATTTACATTTCCTTCAACAATGCAGAATGCTCCTGTCCCCCAGCAGCCTCTCCAGCCTTTGTTGTTATTTATTTATGTCTTGATGATAGCCGCTTTTGGAGTAAGACAGACTCAGTGTTTCAACTCACGTTTCTCTAACGGACAGCTGTTCATCATGTATTTATTGGCCGTTTGTATTTCTCAAGCTGTCTATTCATTTAATTTGCCCTTTTTTTGATTTGGTTTCTATGGGGATGCTAATTTTTAGACTTCCGTATGTATTGTAGTCTTCAGTCCTATGTCTGAGGACAGCTAGTAAAACTTTGTCCCATGCTTCGGCTGTCTCTTCACTGTTTGCTGTTTCTTTCTTTCTTCTTCTTTTTTTTTTTTTTAGACTGGGGATCAAACTCATGACCTAACACTTGCCAGGCAGGCCCTTGTGCCACTGAACTACATCCCCAGCCCACTATTTGTTAATTCTTGGTATTATTTCCTGTGCAGTAGGGTTCTGTTCAGAAAGTTCTTGACCCTGCCTGTGATTTCAAGAGTTCTACTTACTTTATCTTGCAGGAGACTAGGGGTTCAACATTCAGATGTGTAGACCTTTGAGCCACTTTGGTTTTAGTGCAGTACCTGTTCGGAGATACGGGTCTAGATTCTTCTGCATGGACAGTCAGTTTTCCCAGCACCGTTTATTAAACAGGCTGTCTTTCCTCTAGTGTACATTTTGGTCCCTCCATCACAGATCGAAACGCTGAATGTGCTTGAGTTTGTTTCTGCTCTCTCTGTTCTGTGCCCGGATCCGCAGGGGTGTTTGTGCCAGGGCATCTCCTCCCTTCAGCTGCAGGTGTTGGTGTTCTGTTCCAGCAGTGGAAAATGAAGCAAGAGTGGGGTCACTGCTGTGACTAACCATGTCATTCAGAAGCCCTTGGAACTGGTTTGCAGGAAGAATTTGAAAAGATTTGGAAATGCTGGCTCGAGACTGGTGAAAGATTCTGGTTTGAGCTCAAAAGGCCAGAATGCTGATAGGAACAGGAATAGTAAAGGGCAGGCCCGGGAGATTTCAGGTGGGAACGAGGTGCAGACTCTGCTAGAAACTAGATTAGATGCCATGCATGTTATGTCTGGGGAGAGGAGTCTACATTTTGCCCTGTCCTAAGACTCTATATGAGGCTGAATTTAAAAATAGTAAGCTAATTAATCTGGTGGAGGAAATTTCAAGGTGGCCCAACCCTGAGGCTGTGGCATGGGTCCTTCTGTGAGGTGCTTTATCCAGATCTACAGTGAGAATCAGTAGAAGGAACATAATGAATGACTTGAAAATTTCTCCAGAAAGGAAGAGCTTACAAAGTTGGGGCAAAATAGAATATTGTTGTTGAAAAGACTATCATTACAAAGAAGCCAAGGCAATGGACCCTTGACTTACAAACTCAGTTCATTCCTGAGGGCTGGGTGTAACTCAAGTAGTCAGTTGAAGACTCAGGCTCCTCTACAAGACCTTGTCTCCCGTATACAGGCAAATCCTAGTCACCTCCTGTGTGAACACTGCATGGTTTCTCTGGTATGAGAAATCAGAAGTGTGAATAAAGACCCAAATGCATAAAAAGTATTGTGAAATGGGAATAAAATGTTCAAATGGGAAGGAGAACTAGGGAGAGGAGAGGGGAAAGGAGGGAAAGGAAAAGAAGAAATGAAAAAAGGATGAAAAATGGAAACAAAGCTTTCGCAAATAGGGAGGGGAAGAGGCACTGAACAGCAGGGAGGGGAGTGAGAAAAAAAGAATCAAGATATATCATGTACCGATGCAGATTCTCTGTGATGAATGTGATCCTTATATATACCTAAAATCTACCAATGAACAGTTTTTAACAGCTCAGTGTCATGGGGCTGGATATTTAGCTCAGTGGCATAAGCACCTGCCTTGCAAGTGTGCAGTCATGAGTTCGATCCCTGGTACAGATAAACATGAAAAAGACAAACAAAAACAAAAACAAAAACAAAAACAAGCTCAGTGACATTGGCCCAGGATTTCTCAGTGAACCCCGCACAGTAAAGGGTGTTGTAATGTTCCTTCCAGAACTCGTCAAGGGTTAGATCTGTATCTGATGCCATCTGGAAGCACAGGCGGGTCATCACCCAAGCTGTTCATATCTCAGGCCAGTGGCAGTTGGAGGATCCACTGTATTTTGTACAGAGACAAGAAGAAATATGCCTCCAGAGAGTCTTAGAAATCAGCAAGACTCCACTCAGGCTCAAGGGTGCAGAATTGTAAATCTTTCATCTGAGAAGAGTCCCTAGGAGGTCTGCTAGGTCAGGGCCACCTTTGGAAGTGTATTTCGGAGTTTAGTCATTCAGGCACTTAGGAACAAGGCAGCCATGGTTCAAAGGGCCCGGCTACTGGTCTAGCTGGAGCCTGGTCTTGGTGTCACCCACAGGGGCCGCTTTTTCAGCCATGCAGAATGTAAGTTACGGGAGCATACAGCCTTCCACACAGATTGCAGAAGGCCTGGGAGACCAAGATAAAAGTCCCTCCCAGGAGCCCATCAGAGGGCAGTGGGTGAGGCTGAAGGAGTAGTGGAGACCCCAGAAAATGGAACATCAGCTGAGGAGAGCCACAGGCAGTGAGCAGAGCCTGCCCAAGAGGCCACGTGGGTTTCAATCGGCCGTGGGCTGGGGCTCATGTCTCTTTACAGTCTGCTTTAGATTCTGGACAAGCAGCTGCAGGACTTAGCATCTGCCCTGCCGAGTTTTAGCCCTGCTTTCATCCAGGTGCTGTCTCTTCCCGTATCCCTCCTTTTTGGAATAGGAATGTTTAACCAGGGCCACTGTATGCTGAAAGTATTTAATGTTCTTTTTGATTTTGATTTTTTTATTTAATGATTTTAGTTTTTTGAGACTGCTCTGCAGTCCAGGCTGGCCTTGAAGTCACATCCTCCTACCTCAGCATCAGGAATGCTGGGATTACAGATGTGTGCCACATACCCAGCTCTTTTTGATTTTTATAGGGACTTTTAGCTAAGAGTTTGCCTTGAATCTCAGGGGAGACTTTGGACTTTGCAGAACTGCTGAGGTTTTGGAGACCTGTAGGGGTGAACTAGATTCATTTGTACAATGAGATGGACATGAGCCTTTTGGCAGTCAGGGGAGGAATGCTATGGTTTAGATCTAAAATATTCCCCAAAGTCACATCTGGAGATAGGGCCTGGTTGGAAGGGGCGATCACTGGGGATGTGGCCTGGGAACTGTTCTCCTCCCTGCTCTGCTTCCTGGCACCGTGACACCAGCAGCTTTTCTCTGCCAGGCTGTTTCACCATGCTG